CAGGAATCCTTCTGGCCGGGCATGACCCTTAACATGGCACTGCTTGCTCTGCCACCTCCTCTAAGGCCAGCCTTTCAGACGTGTCCTGAGGGCTGTTCACGTTGCCACATCTAAACAGGGCCCCAAAGGAAGAGAAAATGAGAAGAGAAACTCCTGCCTAAGCCTGAAGCCTGAGACATGCCTGAAGCTCACGCAAGGAGCTGCTGGGGAGGCTGTGAAGCAGAGCCTGAAAGGCTGCTGCTAATTCAGTTGCTGCCATTTCCCTTGGCCCCCAGGGCACGTTTGTGGCAGGGCCATGACACAGCCGTGCTGAGCAACCTGTGCCAGCCCTCGTGCTCTTTTCTTCTGCCCTGTCCTTCCTCTTTCCTTGTGAATGCTTCCAGAGGAATACTGGAAGCAAGAAAGCTCCTTTTCAGAGCAGCAGTTTATTGCCACCCAAATCTCTCTCTGGAGAGACTAAAAGGCTGCAACATTTGCAGGTGAGGCAGAGGTAATTTAAGGTGCTCAACAACTTCATCAGCGTCAGAGGCTGTGCAAGAGATGGACCACAAAGCCAAGGTGATGGCCAGCTGCCGGCCACTTCTCCGTGCCAGCGCACCGAGGGACGGCTCTGCACACTGCCGGGCTTCGTTCTCGCGCTCCACCTTCACACTTCCAATGATCGTGCCGGCATCTTCTGACGTACTGAACTACCCCAGAAAGTGCAGGTCATGGGGAACTACTGACACGACGGGATTTCACAAGAGAATGGATGTGTGTCTTTTGTGTCTCAGAGTCATGAGACAAAAGACTTCCACCCTGACCCTGTGTGTGGCCACGGACAAGGCTCTCATCCCCTCCCTGCCTTGATTCCTCCCGCTCTAGCAGAAAAATAAAACTGCTCCACTGATCTCCCGGCAATCCTAAATATCGCTGCCTCCCTGCTTTCTTCGTGACACTGCTTCCTGATATATACAGCATTCCCTGTCAGAAAGGCCTTGGTTTGTTCTTTCCCGAGGCAATTTTCCACCCAGCCACACTCCTGCGTGTTTTAATACCAGCAGAACAAGTCCACCCGCCCCAGCGCAGATGCTCCTGACAGGTTACGCCTGGGAGAAGCTTTCCTTCGTTTCACAGACTCCCCAAAAGGGTTGGAGAGCCCTGCTTAGTCCGGTGCAATGAAACCACAACTCAGCAGGCTTAAAATTGATGGGTTGTTTGTACCAGCTCCTTTTTATAATTTATGTCATTTTTTTGTTTGAGTGGCCATTGTATAACTTTCTCTCTAACAGAGGACACCAGAGTACATAGACAGTGGGCCTAGGACACAAATGAGCTTTCTTGGCTCTGTATTGTTACTGGGTTATTTATTTACCCCTGTGTACTTCATACTTTAACTACTGCTCTTGGGGGCTGGCGACTGCTGTAATTCAGCAATGACTAAGCCCAGAGAAGCTTCCAGCCAAGCTGCAGACAGGTTGTTATTCCACGACAACTTTTATAAAGCAAGATCACTCCGAGAAAATTTTAAAAAGCTTGTGGAGGCAGACGTGCTGGTGAGGAAATAGTTGAAGTGACATCGGGTCCTGATAGCACCAGCCTGGCATTATTGGTAGAGGCAAATCACTTCTCGGCACCCGTGGCCGTCCTGCCTACCTGAGCAGCACCACGCATCAGCACGCACAGCGCCGAACGCGTGCCTGCTTGGAGTCACTCCCTGGCCTCGGGGTTTACACGGTGAGGAGAGGCGGGAGAAGGAGTTTTATTCCATTCCTTCATTCAAATGTGGTGCACAAAGAGCAAATAACTTGGTAGAGGTGGGAACTGTCACCATGTGTCCTGAGTCCTAAGCAGTCAGAGCACAGGACCGTCCTATCTCCGTGCTCCCTATCCGGTCCCCTCCCTGCCTGCAGCCCTGGGCACCACTGTCCAGGTGTTTGGGAGCAGGGAAGCCTTGGAGGGAAAGATGCTAATGCCAGGAGGAAGAGCTTCAGCTCTCTGCAACCTCTTTCCACAATGTGGTTCTCCTCTGGGACTAAGTCAGAGCAGGACATAGAGCAGACACAGGCGTGATTCAGGCACCCTGTATTCTCTGTTCAAAACAAACAAAGAGGCACCAACCTGCAACGCGGAAAGCGTGATCCTCCTGCCCAGTGCTCTTCTCGATTACACACACATTCAGCTCTTTCAAAGGCAGCAGTCCCTGCGTAAGAACACACCGTTACTTTGGGGAGCAGCCCGCCGGCAGGCTCTGCAATTAATGCCCCTTTGCCGTAGGAGACTGGCAGTCCAGACTCGGCACCAGGAGGTTGCTGTGGCTCACAATGTCAGACTGCAAAACACTGCTCTGAGGGGAAACATTTGGGACTGGGATCCAGCACACTGCCCAGAGGAAGCAGCTTCAGCAGCTCCCTGGGCTCCATGGGGCCGGTGCTGCAGCAATCATCTGCCATGCTGGCAAGAACACTTTCTTTATATTCCAAGTCTTTCAGTTTTAAGAGAAACCTTAAAAAAACATTGCTGGTTTAACACCAGAAAGCCAGAAGATGGAAATGACCATAAAGGAAACTTGAGCTGTCTGGTTTCTATACCCCAGTTCATCAGAGTCCAACTACAATGAAGCACCGGAACAGATGACAAGTTTGTGATCCCTGTCTTGGGCTTTCTAAACAAGGACTGTAAAAGACGCTAATTGCTGTAATGTCTAGGGCCAGTACTAGCACATTAATTCCTTTTTAATTCCTCTAGAATTAATAATCTAAGGAACTGTTTATAAAGTAGATGGGAGGTTTTGTAAAATTGTTTGTATTCTGACACGTGTCTTTCCAGTTGAAGGCTGGCTTGCTGGGTGACTCGAGATTGTATTGGCATATTGCATTAACCTCACGTCACCTAGAAGAAAATAAATCATTTCTAAAAGGAACACATTTTATGAACATCTACAAAACAGCCATGCTCAGTTTCAGTTACGCACTCAGGTAGAGGGAGAGCACGTTCAGGGCTTCCTATTTGTTTGGCTGTGATTTTTTGGCTGCATGAGGAAAACAGCCTATTGCTTGTAATTCACCAGCATCTTCAGGTTAAAAGATTGATGAATGGTTTGCCAGGATAGCTCCCTCAGGTTTTGCTTTCTGCCTTCTCCCGTATGCCTCTTTCTCTATCCTGCAGATGAAGAACTCCCCCTTGGTTCAGAAGCCAAGGCCAAGTCCACCATTTGCACCGAGGCCAGTGGGATTTGAGCGACAGGGGCTCTGACCCTTACCAAGGCACAGCTCTCCGTGCTTGGTGCTCTACACAAAGATAAGTCCAGGTAGCCTAAACACCTCCCACTCCTGGTCCTGCCTGCCAGCCCTGCACAAGCCCCTTTCCCACCTCTATGGGGTCCTATCTCTCCCCACAGACAAGGCCAAGGACCCAGGTGAAACTGAGGTTGGCTGGATACGGTCCTTAGGAAGAAATGCTCTCCTCCCCGGGAGCTTGGCATCCAGGGGAAGGGACTTGCTGAGATCACTGAGGGGACGCCAGTGGCAGCCCCAGGAGCAGAGCCCCCTGCCCTGCCCCATCCCATCCGCCCAGTGCCCCCAGCTTGGCCACACTGCCCAACTCCCCAGCGCTCTCCCCAGCATGTCTAGGAGATCCCCTACCTCATGGGTGAGTCCATTGGAGTCCATGGACTGGAAGTTCAGGTAAGACTGGAACAGCTCCAAGACGCAGTCATTCACCTCCTGCAGAAAAGACATGTTTTGGGGTTTATCTCAGGATGCCTTCCTCCTCCCAGCTTCCCTCTGCATCTCAGACTGATCTCTGCACAGAAAAGCCAGCGGTCGCTTATCCAAGGGCCACCACTGCATCTCTACTGGTGGATCTGCTGCCAGCCCGGCAGCTGAGCACAGAAGCACGGCCCAGGTCCCCATTAGGATGGGAGCCGGTGGGCGCCAGCCAGCACCCATGCACCGCATGGCAGCAGAAGTCCCTGGGCCATGCAGTAGCCCGAAGAAGTCTCTGTGAGTCGCATTTCCCAGAATTACACTTTACTTCCCAGTCCTGCAGGGTCACTCCACACCTGGGAAAAGAAACACCCACAAACACGTGCCTCAGCTTACCTGGCAGTTCTGAAACTTAAATTTGACCTTGGAGTAATAGATAATTCTCCCCAGATTCCTGACAGCCATTTTCCTTCGTCCTTTCTTGAACAGGCTGGGGAACCTCTGGTCCAAGTTTTCTTTCTGGTTTTCCTGGTTCTGAATATTCTGTACCAAGGATTCAGGAAAAAGAAATCAGAGCCAGCGGGAGGCAGGGGCCTGATGTCTGGAAGAGATGTTCCCAGAACATCTTCCCAGAAGGGCTTCCTTGGAAAGGCGCCCTGGGTAGGCGCCCGGGCTGGGCTGTTTGTTGTTGGGTCTCCATGCCAGCGTGGAGCTGGGGCTCGGTTACTGCTGGGAGACCGTCCTCCCTAGGCAGGGGGAGATACTGACCTAAAGGGAGGTTTTCTGGGTTGGGAAAGA